TATATCAATAATCACTTTCGATAATATAAAGAATTTTTGAAAGAAAGGACATATCTCAAATTCGAAAATCCTAATTTTTTTATTTAGTTTTGGTTTTCTTATCAAGTAATTCATGCCTCTGACAAAATATAAATGACATTTATTATACTATTTACTCAAATTAATCTAGACTATTATTACAATATTTACTCAAAATAATCTAGACTAAATTTGAATTTATTGAAGAAATTATAAAGAGAATTTAGTATTATCATCAAACAAAAAAATTATGAATATATGGTAGATATATTTCTTTTCTCTATTTTAGAATCTAAAAGTTAAATAAATAGATGAAAATAGAACTTACGATAATCACTATGTGTTGACCTACAAATATTCTCTAATGGAAACTCTAATTTTTTTTATTTTTTACCTCTGTTATTTCTCCCCTTCAGAACTCTTAATATTTTTTTTCCCCACACAACAAAGGCACAACATAGTCTTAGACTTAGCCGTAAATCTTTTGATATAAATGATAAAAAACAATTCAAATCAGAGTAGAGATTTAACATGTGGTCCTCACTTATACATATATTCTCCGTAACTTTGCAAAGAATTTTAAAAATTGGAAATATGTGGTCCCTACAATATGGCTTACATGAAAATTTTAGTTATAACCAAGGTGCAAATCACTACGCTATAGCAATTAGGAGGTGAGATCGGGGGTCACATGACCCCCTTTACCCCGTCCCTCCGCCCCTGCAAATAGATTAGAAACATAATACAATTTAGGGAAAATTGCTTCCAGCCCCCAAAAGCTAAGGAAACGTGCTTCTCACCCTCAAGACTTTGTCAATGGGTGTTTTAGCCCCAAAAATAAAGATTCTGTTCTCTGAGCCCCCAAAACACAAAACCCAAGAGATTAAAATATGTGAAGAATTCTGTTCTCTGAGCCCCCAAAACACAAAACCCAAGAGATTAAAATATGTGAAGACCATAATACCCTTCTCTGCCCCCAAAACACAAAACCCAAGAGATTAAAATATGTGAAGACCATAATACCCTTCTCTCTCTCTTTCTTCTTTTATTAAAAATATGATGAGGATTATTTTATTATTTTTATTTCCTCTCTCTCTTTATCATGATGTACTGAGATGATAGTTGAAATGATTGATAAGGATTATTTTATTATTTTCGTTGTTTGTATTGGGAGATTGTTAAAGTTACGAGTTAATTGTTAAGGTTACGAGTTAATTGCTAATGTTACGGGTCAATTGTTAAGGTTATGAATCCTCTCTCTCTCTCTCTCTCTCTCTCTCTCTCTCCCCCCTTCTCTCTCTCTCTCATGATGTTACTTTGATAATATTGAAATGATTGAAGGTGATTATTATTTTATTATTTTTGTTTTTTATTCTTTTCGTATTTTTAGAATATTTGTTGTTAAGGATAATGGTTGGTTGTAAAGGTTATGCATTATTTGTTAAGGTTACGGGTTGGTTGTTAAGGTTACGTGTTTATTGTTAAGGTTATGAGTTTGTTGTGTAGGTTACGGATTTATTATTAAGGTTACGAGTTTAATTGTTAAGGTTACGGGTTTAATTGTTAAGGTTACGTGTTTAATTGTTAAGGTTACCGGTTTAATTATTAAAGTTACGGTTTAATTGTTAAGGTTACGGGTTTAATTGTTAAGGTTACGAGAGAGAGAGAGAGAGAGAGAAGGGATCCATAACCTTAACAATTGACTCGTAACCTTAGCAATTAAACCTATAATCTTAATAATTAAACCCGTAACCTTAACAATTAAACCCGTAACCTTAACAATTAAACACGTAACCTTAACAATTAAACTCGTAACGAGTTTAATTGTTAAGGTTACGTGTTTAATTGTTAAGGTTACGTGTTTAATTGTTAAGGTTACGGGTTTAATTGTTACGGTTACGGTTTAATTGTTAAGGTTACGGTTTAATTGTTAAGGTTACGGTTTAATTGTTAAGGTTACGGGTTTAATTGTTACGGTTACGGGTTTAATTGTTATGGTTACGGGTTTAATTATTAAGGTTACGGGTTTAATTATTAAGGTTACGGTTTAATTGTTAAGGTTACGGTTTAATTGTTAAGGTTATGGATTTAATTATTAAGGTTACAGGTTTAATTGTTAAGGTTACAAGTTTAATTGTTAAGGTTACGATTTAATTGTTAAGGTTACGGGTTTAATTATTAAGGTTACGGGTCAATTGTTAAGGTTACAAATTTAATTATTAAGGTTACGGGTTTAATTGTTAAGGTTATGGGTCAATTGTTAAGGTTACGAGTTTAATTATTAAGGTTACGGGTCAATTGTTAAGGTTACGGGTTTAATTGTTAAGGTTATGGGTTTAATTATTAAGGTTACGGGTTTAATTGTTAAGGTTACGGGTCAATTATTAAGGTTATGGATCCTCTCTCTCTCTCTCTCTCTCTCTCTCTCTCTCTCTCTCTCTCTCGTAACATTAACAATTAAACCCGTAACATTAACAATTAAACCGTAACTTTAACAATTAAACCGGTAACCTTAACAATTAAACACGTAACATTAACAATTAAACCCGTAACCTTAACAATTAAACCCATAACCTTAACAACAAATCTGTAACCTACACAACAAATACATAACCTTAACAACAAACTCGTAACCTTAACAACCAACCCGTAACCTTAACAAACAATGAATAACCTTTACAACCAACCATTATCCTTAACAACGAATATTCTAAAAATACGAAAAGAATAAAAAACAAAAATAATAAAATAAGAATCCTCTTCAATCATTTCAATATCATCAAAGTAACATCATGATAGAGAGAGAGAGAGAAGGGAGAGAGAGAGAGAGAGAGGATTCATAACCTTAACAATTGACCCGTAACATTAACAATTAACTCGTAACATTAACAATTAAACTGTAACTTTAACAATCTCCCAATACAAACAACGAAAATAATAAAAAATAAAAATAATAAAATAATCATCATCAATCATTTCAACTATCATCTCAGTACATCATGATAAAGAGAGAGAGAAAACAAAAATAATAAAATAATCCTCATCATATTTTAATAAAAAAGAAAGAGAGAGAGAAGGGTATTATGGTCTTCACATATTTTAATCTCTTGGGTTTTGTGTTTTGGGAGCTCAAAGAACAGAATCTTTATTTTTAGGGGTAAAACACCCATTGACAAAGTCTTGAGGGTGGGAAGCATGTTTCCTTTGTTTTTGGGGGCTGGAAGCATTTTTTTCCTAAAAAACGTTGAGAATTTTTTGTAGAAAAAGATCATCGAGAATTTCAAATTATTCAGCATGAGGATCCCCACACCAAAGCCCGAGTTTGATCCCCACCCTTTACCAAGTAGATCGGGATGTGTGGGTCTCATCTTCTATTCCCACACTCCAACTTAAATAGACGGTATCGAACCAGAGACCTAGAGATATTGACGATATTACTGCCGTGTCCCTAGGCTATATGCACTATTTGTGCTTGGTAAACTATCCCTCCACCTTCTTTGTGATAAAACTTGTATTCTCACAAATTTCCGATACTTATAGTTTTCCACAATTTGATGAAGAAACTCTGTCTTATTCATAAAGACAAACAAGCATAACATAACAAAACAAATAAGATATTAGAGTGTGTATCTACTACTCTATAATTAAAGGAGAATCCAACGAATTATTGTTCATACTATAGTGAATCCTCTGCGCTTGATGTTACTGTTCATACCATAGTAATTTACTATAATATAAACAATAAATCAAATCTGCTCCTCCACACTTGAGGTTACTAGGGCTGAGCATGGTTCGGTCCAAACCGAAAAAACCGACCCGAACCGACCCGAAAAAATCGGTTTTATGAGTAGGGTGATTCGAGTCGGTTTGAAAACTTTTTAACCCGAACCGACCGAATATAGTGCAATACTACCCATTCTGATCTTAAACCCTACCCGACCCGTCCCCAAAGAGTCAAACTCAAACTCTAAACTCATTTTCTGAATCATTATGGGTTGAAAACAATGACATTATATTAGTATTTAATGCTTCATAATATCCTACTTCGTTGATATTTTTTTTCTTTAACACAGTTTGTTGTTTGATAAGAAGTTTGATAATGTTAGAACCGAACAAATCGAACCGAACCGCACCGAACCGACTTGCAACAGTTTGGTTCGATTTTGAATTATAGACGGTTCGGTTCGGTTGTTCAAATTTTGGTAAAAACCGAACCGAACCGACCGTTGCACACCCCTAGAGGTTACTACTCATGCTACAGTATTTACTGTATCGTAAATAGTGAATCAAATTAAATGTATTAAAACTTGGATCCTTCTTTAAGTATAGAGGAATAGATATGATTTCTAATTTTTTCATACAATAATTAAATCAAATGTATTAAAACTTGGAGGAATGCAATTTTAAAATACAGTGCTTAAATTTTTTAAAAATAGAGGGTCATGCTTTACACGAGATGCATACTAGGATCAATAAACAGAGTACCCTACTCCTCTCCCTACTAGGATCAATAAACAGAGTACCCTACTCCTCTCCCTCTTAGGTAAGCTTCCTTAATCTTCGAATTGTCTCCCTTAAGTTCTGGGAAGTTCTGGGGAAAACACCCTTCAACTTTAAAGGTTTTCCAAAGAAACCTAATGGTGTTAATTTGAAGGCTTTTCCGACAAAAACTTAAATTGGATCCTCTAACATTTTGAATGTTAAGGGGGTTATGTCCAAAACGTCTCCGCTTGAGGTGGCTTCGCAAAATCCCTCTTGAGTTAAATGACAATAAGAAACAGCACCTTTATTTAGCTTGGGGCTTTCTTCCCTGACAAAATTTCACGGGGTCCTCCGACATTTTGAAAGTTATAAAGGGTTATCTGAGAAATGGCCAAGCTTGAGGGGTGTTTAGTGAAATTTACCCCTTAAACAACCCATTTGTATTTATAAACACAATTTTAAGGAATTTAATTAATAATATTTCAAATTCTCGCCCTTGCTCGTTTTCTCCGAGCCTCTTAACGTTCCTTTCCCTTCTTCAACTCCTCCTCTCTTCATTTTCACCCCCAAAAAAATTCATAAAAATTTCAAAATTCTCCGAACCTAGGGTTTCAACAGAGAGAAATTTGAGAAGCAGTGAAAATTAATGGAGAATTTATCTCTGATCGACGTCTCGTCAGAGGACGATCTCCTCATCTCATCGTCTTCTGATCGCCACCGGGATCTGAGATCTTCAGGTTATGACCTTTCTAGATTCCTTTTCTTGTTTAATGCGATCAAGTTCTCGATCTGAGATCTTCAGGTTCTAGCTCTCGGTTTGATTTGGGAATTTTATTTTCCCCTTTCAAAGATGCAGGCCTTTTGTATGAATATTTTTTATTTTGGAATAGAGTTACACTAACCGTTGAGCTTCTTGATCGTAAATGAAGCATTTTGATTTGAATCTCGTAACGATAACGATTTCGTTAGCAAAGCTCTTATAAATCTGCTTTCTATAGTTTGTAGAGCTCAAAACTTTTCTCAAGGGCAAGCTCTCGAATGTTGCATAAAGTAGTTTCTTTTTTCGGACAAATTAGCTATAGTTGAATGTTGTTTTCCTTGTAAATTAGGCTTATGACTTTAGGATTTTGAGTTGGTAACTGGATGATTCTGTTTCTGAGGAGGGCTGCATTAAGTTTGTAGTACTACCCATTCATTGGTCATGAGTTACTTATTATATATACCCATCTATATGCCAAATGCGTTTGAAAAGGTTGACTATTCCTCGAGTCTCAGGGAGCTACTGAGACGTGATGCATCATCTTGTTTGCAAGACATGATCTACACTTTCACAAACTCTCGCAGGATTATATTTTGTTGTGATAATCCCTTTTCCATCCCTTTACTATTCTAACTTTAAGCATTCTGAAAATCAAACACTGAACTTCGAATTACATTGTGTGGTGATAAAATCCCTTTTCTATCCTAACAAGAAACAAAATGACGTGTGAATCGGAACGTAAAGTTTCTAGCCTTTTGGGCTTTCGTTAAGTCATACATTCCTTTGTCAGATTACAAAGTTTCTTTCTTAAGTATGGAACTCACTAATCTTTAAGTAGAACCATGATGAACTTGCTTGTCTTTAGCGCTGGCTTGACACTTTATCCTAGTTTCTACCCTTTTGGGCTTTCGTTAAGTCATACATTCCTTTGTCAGATTACAAAGTTTCTTTCTTAAGTATGGAACCCTTTTGGGCTTTCGTTAAGTCATACATTCCTTTGTCAGATTACAAAGTTTCTTTCTTAAGTATGGAACTCACTAATCTTTAAGTAGAACCATGATGAACTTGCTTGTCTTTAGCGCTGGCTTGACACTTTACCCTCTATTAGGCCTTGTAGAAAATAATGATGGGGATAACTGCTTTGTGTTAGAGTCTGTTGATGCTCGTGAAGAGGGGAATCCAGTGAAAATGAGCAAGCAATGGGGGCATGTCCCTGAGAAGTCAGAATCCCCAGAGCAAAAGCGAGCAAAGTCTGGGAAGGTTAATTTGCGGAAAAGTTTAGCCTGGGATAGTGCATTTACCAGTGAAGGTGCACATCTCTTAATGCAAAACTTTTCCTTATGTATGTGACTGGTTAAACAATTTATTGATTTTACCTCTTAATTCTTCGTGCAGGTGTCCTCAACACTGAAGAGTTGGCTATTGTGAATAGCACATTCAGGAAGATTGAATTGTGTTCGTTACCCGGAATTCAAGAAGACTTGCGGTTATCAACAGAGTCAACCTCTACCTTGGACGGTGAAAGCTACAAATTGGAAAATCTTGAAGGAGACTTGTTTGAGAATGTGCGAGCTTCCATCCAACAGTCACTCAGCAAGCACAATAACTGTCCAAGTGGGAAGTCAGATACACCCCGCATTTGCTGTAAGTATTGTTATGCTTTCACTTTTTTAAGGATTACATGCAGACTGCTATTAGCTGACTTCTCCTGCCTGTGGAAGTTTTACTATAGGGTGTCATGTTTTCCAGCTTTCCTTCCGTATCTGTTTGACCCAGATTTTGCTAAATATTATATTTGCCTTCGCAGCAAGGAAGAAGGTTGAAGTTGCTTTTCAAACAAAGGTATCCTCTTCACATGATTGATATCTTTATATTTTCTCAGATGTGTGTGGTTTACTTAATTCTTTTGTATATTCAGATGAAACGTCCTGTTACTTTGAAAAGAGATGGGATCAGCGGGCAGCGACTTGAATGTAATTCAAAGGAAGCTGTCCTTGGTGCGAAAGAGGTACACATGTTATTTTCAATTCGGCTCGTCATTGATGCATATGCTGTTTAGAAAGATAGAAACATGGGAAGGAGGGAGAGCTATAATGGGCCATCCAAATGGATTATCCATACTGACCATCTTGATCTTCGGCCTCTATCATACAAATATCTCATTCCCATACTTTTTAAGGCAACGAAAGCATATGGTTACTTGTGTGAATCATCCATTTTGATGGTTCGCCACAGTTTTCTGGGGGGATTGGACAGAGAAAGCTCCTACAACCCCCCACCCCCTACCCCCACCCCCCCCCCCCAACCCCCCACACACACACCCATTCATTTCACTGCAACAGTAGATCATTTTGACGGTTTTAAATAACATAGGCACATTCCCATTGCACCTAGTTGATCCTTACAGAAGTCATGCTACCTTTGGATGAGTTGTTCCCTTATTTCATGCGTACACATGCATCTTACACGACTAAGTTATTGGGTTCATGTCCTCACTTTGTCTTTAGGGACTCATCTGCTTGGATTTCCTATCTACTCATGCTTAATTATTGATTGTAGGCTGCTAAGGAAACTGGCGTATCAAAATTATTATTGAAGCCACCTCAGGTTGTGCCTAAATCCATTGTACCAAGCAATAAGGGTTCTTCTGGCAGCACACAGATGAAAGATAACACCAGAACTTTGTCTGGTATAGATTTCCTATATAATTAAATGACATGCAGATTCTCCTTTGAGTATTTCTTTTATGACACGCATCTTAAGTTCTGTTTCTGCAATTTTCTGGTTTGACTCCAGGCAATGGTGCTAATCGACAGGGAATAGTAACTTTTAATAAGGGTAATGAAGTTTCAACCAGAATGACCTCTAGGCCAGTTTCATCGATGAAACCTAATGCTTCTTCTCACCTAGGCACAATGTTGCGCTCAACGTCTTCTTGTTTATCAAATAGTAGTCCACTTAACAGTTTATCTCATTTAAAAGATAATTCTCCCTTGGAACGAAGAAGGAAAAGAAATGCTTCAAAGAACAGTGAGCAGCCTCTGTCCGGATCAAAGCAGCAAAACATAAGCCACTCCAAATCACGTGCAAGTTCTACTTTCAAATTCTCTTCGGGAGCATCTCCCAGCAGTTCAATGGACAGCATTATCTCAGAGGCAACTTCATCAACGTCCACTATTAAGCCCAGTAGCTCGGTGGAGAGCTTTGCCAGTTCAACTTCTTCATCCCCTTCCTTAAGAGTTGCAACACATCAGCCACGCATCAGAAAAGAGAGTTCTGTGAATCTTTTACATGCCCGTCCTATTGCTAATGTACCTGCAGGTACTCGTGTATTATCTGAGTCATCAAATAAGGATCACCCTAGAAGCTCCATCAATAACAACACAGGATTGAGAGGTTCTAAACCATCAGGACTCCGGATGCCAAGCCCCAAAATTGGGTATTTTGATGCGGTTAGTTATGTTGAGTACATTAAACCGATTATTTTAGAGTAAATAGCAGATACCCCCACACCTATGCCTTAAATAGCACTAAGATAACCCCTTAACTTATTTAGCACTCATCACCCCTCATTTCCATGAGATAAAGTTGGGATTATTTGAAATTAATTCTTCTAAAAATATCAATCCAGGATGATAAATTGCTACTATATTGGTTGAGGGGTGATTAGTGCTGCTGAAGGAATAGATGAGGGGGTTACATCCAATTTACCCTTTTTCATGTCTCTTACACTCATGCACACATGCTTGCACGTACCAATGCACAAAATGGCTCACAGACTATAATGTACCTTATGCTTTTCAGGAGAAATCTCTAGTGCGCAATTCCAACAAAATTTCACAGATTGGCCTAAGAAGCAGCTTACTGAAGGGAAACAGTGGAACCAGCGCTGATGCAGTTGGCACAAACAGACCAAAGTCCAGTAAGACTCCCTCTATAAGACCTGCAGCACGCAAAGATTCATCTCCCATTTCCATTGAAGAGAGTCAAAGCATGGTTCATAAAGGAACACAAGCAGCATACCAGCTAGATAAAGAGGAAAAGCTCGAGCAATCAGGAACATTTGATTCTGCTTCCGTAAGGGTTGAGAAGGAAAATCTGATTCCTGCACATGAAATGAATTGCTTAACGCGTTCGCCAATTGAATGTCAGAAACTGCCAGCTTTGGATATCATGGGCAAGAAGATGTCTTCTCTCTCTATTTCTAGCGATCTTGTAGGCGGGAATTAGAGCTATTTACAAAATTCAGTGATCGCGTCACTCAAAAGAAACAGAAGATGGATTGCAGCAGTGGATTGAATTGTTTTAGGGGTGTTTGTTTCACCAAAAATTTTGGCATTTGGTATGGATTACAAATTTTAGGATCAAAAAGTGAGTTTTTTGGTATTTTGGGATTCCATATATGTTGTTTGCTTTAAGAAAATTTTTAGAATATTGAATCCCAAAAGTGCAAAAATTGTCAAATTTTTAGAATTTGTCAAATCCTCTCAATTGGAGAGGATTTTAACAAATCCTATAAATGGGTATGTTTACCTCTCAATTGGAGAGGATTTGACAAATCACAATTTTGTCTTTTTGTGGGAGGTAAACCTCACCAAGATTGCATATTCATCATATTACAAAGTTTTGGTATTTGGTAATGCTACAATTTGAGCTTGAAACAAATAAAATATTACAAATTGTAGTATTCCAAATCCCAAAACATTAATGAAACAAACAACATTTTAGAAATCCCAACCCATAACAAAACACCTATGGATTTCAAATCTCATGGTGAAATCCATACCCTAAAATTATAGGATTTGAAACAAACACCCCCTTACGTACTTACAGTAAAAAGCCGGGGTTAACATTCTTGGGGTATCGAGCCCTGATACGGCATGTAATACAAAATAGTGCCTACAAAGAAAGGTCGTTTGTAGCTAGATGCTGCTCATATGAATTCTTGAATAAAATCCACTCTGTTGTGTTAAATGGAGACGAGAACGTTAGACATGCATCAATACTAGCTATATCTTGTGTACTGATCATACTCTGAAACTCTCTTGTATTTTGTTTATTTTATTTTTATTTTATTTTATTTTGTATCAATCATGCTATCGAGTAATTTGTACTTGGCTTGCCTGACAAATCAAGAGAACTTGAAAGAGAACAACTGTAGTCCTTCATTTTATTTTATTTTTTCGTGGTGACCGCAAATTTTTTACTCCAGTTGTTTGAGGGGTGTTTTCCATGACAAGTGTAAATTATTGTGAGGGCCGTTCTTCTTGAGTTCTGGCGAGTGTGATCTAAGAGCATTCTGTACTTATTTGGATCATAAATGGGATATATAGCTGAAATTTTGTTGCATTGAAATCTAGGATCCTGTGTAGTTGAAATTTTTTGCGTGGCGGTGTGGATTCTGGATGTTTACTTGCTTTGGGAGTACATTAATCTTATTGAAAGCATGTTCAACATTGATCCACTAAAAACGTTCATGCAAATTTGATGCAGACATCATTCAAAGTTTTGCATACTTGCAATCGAGTTTTGCTACAATGATGCAAAATATGGGACCAAGAGGGGGGTCATGTGAGGTGTCCCCCTCCTATTGCATAATGAGTTGGCCATCATTAATGATGACCAGCTCATTATGCAATAGGAGGGGGACACCTCATCTGTCCCCCATGTTGGTCTCACATTTTGGGTCATTGGGGAATTTTTCTTTGCAATCTTAGTGTGGCAAAGAGCTCACTTCCCAAGACTCTCATTACTCCATCAAATAAACTTGCAAGAAGAATGATGAAAAACTGGGAACTTTGTGCTACGCCATTTACCGATTGCTTATTAATACAAAAACACTGAAATAGGTCTTTTTCGTTGCCCCTCAAACAAAGAAATTTATAAGCATACACATTAATTTCTGGAATTATCGTCACATTGACAATAGTTTTCATGAGAAGTACAAAATATGAGAAGTATCATTTGTAAAGTAACATATAGAAGATTAAAACAAGATCTATTGAGTGGAATTTAACTCTCTTACAAAGAATCATAGACTCTCTCTACTTCATCAAGTAAGATGAATACAGCAATGTGAATGCGTCACCAAAACCCTCTGGGAGAAAAAAGGAATATATATATATATATCTTATTAAAAATCTTTACCCCAACTTACTAACCAGTTTAGTGTTGATACAAGCACAAGAAACCAGTGAAGGTTGCCGGCAAAAGAATTGGGGTGCAACATGTTGCAGTATTGGCAGAAATCATGTGACGAAATTTAAGCTCGGAGAATTTGCTGTCACCCCCTCCTGAGAAATTGAAATATGATCTGCTTCTGTGTTTCCTTGAATAGCTCACTTGCTGCGCTTCTTAGCTTCGCTGTAAAGAATTACACCAATAACTGTAATGGCATAACCAAGCATCCCGGTCACCGACACAGGGTTTTTAAATATTAAAATTGAGATAACCACAGCCACTGCTCCTTTGGCATTGCCAAGAACCTGAAACAAAAAGGGAGACGTCATTTCCAGTAGCTCAGATGCTCTAAGAGAGGAAGACATACTAGTCATTATGACATCATTGTATGAAACTTATATTCAGAAAACATGATTATATGATATTAATCAAATGAAAAGAGTCCTTGTTTCAACTGAACAGAAAGACAAATATATAAAAACTTGTTCGCTTGTATGGTAAAATTTCATTGGCATTAGGTCTGAGAATAAGCGGTTCAGATATTTGTTTAGAAGTTGGTTCTGAGCTTCCTGAAGTATATTGGTTCTGAAATAAAACAATCTGATATTTCTCTTACATACAATTTTAAAAAATAAGGGACCAACTTTCACTAGGAAAATTTTCACACTATCCATGAAATTAGTAATTACAGATAGCAAGGATAGAAGGAGAAGAAGAATAAAGAGATGCGGCAGAAAGTGTTAAAAAGAAAAAACTATAAAATTAAAAGGTCAATAAATTAGTTCTCCAAATTAGTAGTTCAGTATTGAAAGTTTAGTACATTTAGCACTAATTGAGGGAGGAAAGGAGGGGAGGCCCCAATTTTTGAAGTGGGTCACCTAAAACTACAAAAAAAACACATTCAAGGTACATTTTCATCAAATTAAATGTAAGCACTATGGGACACTACACCATGGGAGTAACAGATTAACACAGGTTCTTCTCAAAATTTTCTACGCAAATAAATTTCATTAAACCCCCTAGTTCCACCATAGGATCAAATTAAGCTTTCTAACTAATTAATTAGATAGATCACCTATATGTTTAAGCAAGGTTTTAAATGTCGGCCGACATGCCAACATGTCGGTTTGAAGGCTTGAGCGACACAACATGAGCGTTTTCAACTCGTATGTCGGTTTTCAGGGCCAAATCGAAAATATCGAGGTCATATCCGGCATATCAGCCGATTTTTCAGCTTTGAAAAATCAGCCGATATGACCCTTTTTTTAGATCTATTTTTTGTTATCGGGTTTGGGTTTAGTGATAAAAACCCAAACTCGTTTGACCCGTTCTCATGTTTAAGGGTTTCTTATGAACCCGATAGAAAGAAAAGAGAAAAATTAAGGCTACAGCGGACTTGGTAACCCATCACTCCTTTTGTTAACGACGACGTCATTCCCCCACATTCATCTCGGCCCCCGTCGCTCATCTCCCGTTACGCCCAAAAATCCGAACCACAACCGAACCCGAGGGCAGTAGGGTATCCCGTCGTCGGGATAAAGGGAAGAGGGTGGTCGGTGACTTATCCGAAGGACCCTGAGCAGACGAAGAAGAAGAAGAAAAGTCCCAGTACTACCTCCCTGCGACGTCGGAATCCACTCATCGTCGGCGCCGCCTCTAGAATTTATAAAGTATGCTTATATTAAATTTAGGAATGTTTAGATTACATCTAGGACATGATATTATACATATGCGTACCACCCGATATGACAATCCGATATTTAGTCCATGTCCCCCGATATATCCTCGATTTCCGCTATCCGACATGGATTTCAACCATCCAACATGAACCCGACATCCGACATTTAAAACATTGGTTTAAGGTATAGGTCTATACATCCTTCCCGTTAGAGGAGAGGTAGCGTATTGTGACATTACTTTTTCTTTTACTAAACTGACTATTTAAATAGGAGTTTGGTACCACGTTTTGGGTTAATACTGACTAGTACCTTAATTAACTAACTTATTTAACAAAGTAGGCTTCACTTGCTTCCTATTTCTCCACTCCGTAGCAACATCAAGCCCAGAAAAAGACAACCTATCACAGAAAATGCCTTTGCGAAAACATCTGATACATTAAGATTATATCGTCTTGTCTGATGACTTGATAGGTTATTAGAATGTGCTGCAAAGTGCTTCAAATTGCCAAAACATGTGATACATTAAGAGACAGATAACCAAGTGTTTCCAGGAAATATTTTGATAAATATGAACAGCAAAATAGACACAAAAAGAACACAAATTATACTGCTCTGGTCTAGTGAAATAAAGTAGCTAGTGCTTATATAAGGAAGAAAGGGGCAAATCTAAGTTGACGGGAAAAATAACAAACAAAATAAAATTGTACAGGACTCCTTACAGGGTAATCAGATTTTACGAGGTTATAATAGAAAAAGAGGAAATAGTGAACTATACCTGCAGAGTCAATGCGCTGGTGTGTTTGGTGACCAAGAAATTGGTCAGGTTCACAAAATATGCTAGAGAAGAATTAAATAGCAAATACCAAATAATTTTGACATCTTCTCTAGCAAGAGCTATCGTGATACCGACCACATTGTCCTCCATTATGATTGTTGCAGGAAGTAGAAGAACTACTGCAATTGGTGCCATGTACAGAAGGAGGTTCATGGAATTAAGCTTTTCCCTGAAAAGAAGCAACATGACAAAAGTAAATACAGATAGTTAATAGAAAGCCTGTTCCAGCTTTGAAGTAACTAATGAATTCTATGTTGAAAAAGAGTAATCAAGAGGAGTAAAGGTGCAGTGAAAATTAATATCTAGTTCAAATTCAAATCAATCGAAGATAGTATGTCATGTCATGTGTACGGCACGTGAAAAGAAGTCTATATTCATTACCCCTCAGAGGAGAGTAAAATTCCTTGTAAAACTGATTTAAGTGCCCTTGCAGCAGTTGCACCAACGCACATAATAAATCCAAACAAGTGGAAGCTTGGCTCTCCCTGCAAAAATTGAAGGAAAACATGGTGAATAATTCACAATTAGCACTCCATCTCTATAAACAATCACCCATGTAAATCTCTAAAAACGAAAATTCATCCCTACAAGATTGACAATCATGTACCTACATAAATCTAAAAACATGTTAAATAACATAGACACATAAAACTTTGCTCATTGACTGGTTCCTATTTGTTCTGAATTGGGTATTTCTTCGGGGGAGAAAAACGAGATATTCTTATGTACATTTTTTAAACAATAAAATA